TCGTCGAATGGACACTGACCCCAAACCGTTCGGATCATGATCCCAAATGGGGAACCAGTTTAGGATTACCTTCTAAAATAAGAAGTCAGTATGGCAAGTGTATCTGTTTCTTCAACTCAACAAGTTTGTGTTTTTTTTGGTGATTCCGGGGTTGACAAAAACTCCCCAAAGCCACCCATGGCAAGTTCTGAACTCCCCGGGACCCAGGGATGATCATGGCTGTTTGCTGCATCTAGCAGCGATGTACCCAGGAGGTCAAGTCTTTGTGTACCCCTTGATGGCTATTGAAAATGGCCCATTTATAGTTGATTTACCCATTAAAAATGGTGATTTACCTATGAAAAATGGTGATTTTCCATAGTTTTTGTGTATGTTTACCAGAGGGTATGGTTTTTGTTATGGAAGATCCCCATCTAGATCGCTGGATGATAGCTAGGGGTAGCTGACTAGCACTTCGCCATGGTCATTACGCTGGCCCTAATCGAAATAGATGGTTTACCGAACTTGATAGCAATGGTGGATCTTCCCATGGCGAACTGTTAGTCATAACCAGATGGTACCCCAATTGGATGGTTCATACTTAAACAATTTCAATCTGTGGTCCAGGTCTTTCATTTTGATCCCCAAATGTTTGTTGCTTGAACAAAGGTTCTTTTGGTATCGATCGATCCCCTTTTTGCCGAAGAAATCACGTCGTGAATTACGATTTGCATTGCTCAAACTTAAGAGTCCTTGGCTTGAAAATGAAGAATTTTGCTCAAAATTATGATGCATAATGACCGAATATCATTGAATCACTATTGCCTAATTGATGGTTGACCAGCCCCTCTGAAAAATGATGGAGTTCGTCAATTGGGATGATGATTGTTCCCAACTGAATGGAAAGTCATAAAAACTGATCCAAACCATCAACCAGCATAATTTGGGAATGAATCTCCTTATATACATAATCATTGCCAATCTTAGATACCCTGCAAAAAATTAAATTCTTTGCTGGTTAGTAGATATTCCCATTAATACCAAAAGACTAAAGGATATTCCAGTATCCATGTAAGATTCACCTAGTAATATACATCGCAATGTTCCAAACCACCAAGCAGTTGCCCTCTGGTCATCAAACCATGGGGAAAAATAATCCCACCATTTTCAAAAAAAGGCCTGCCGCCGCTCTTCCGGACCTGTGTCGTGGGACTTTTTAAAAATCGTGGCATTTTCTGCGGTGCTTACTGAAAACAAAGGGATATGTCATGGTTATATGCAATGTGTTTCAAACTAAATAGGATGTGTATATATATATCGGATATATATATATACAAAATAAAAGGATAGATGTACATGTATATACATGGAATACCCTGTATTACGTCTCGTCAAGCAGAATGTTATGGGCGCTGTTTTCAGAGTATGTGATGATACAATGAAGTATCATAGCCCGTTATAAAATACAGGTGGCAACCATCGATCCGGACTATGTGACTTCAATTGTTTGGGAACTGAATCTATGATGGGAATATGAGTGCGCACTTTCTGAGGCCGGCCGCCAGATGGTTTCAGCGCTATCGCAATCAGTGTGAGCATCGCATTTTCCAGATGCAGCCTTCCGTGTTCTTTTACTTGCAGTGCTCCTTTGTGCTAATGATGTTTGTTCTGTCATGCTTGCACCAACGGTTTTTGTTTAGGCATCCATGTCCAGAAATCTTCATGATCGGTATGGTGGCCGTCCTCCATTCAAGAAGTTCAAACCATGGCGCGCTCATATTCCCATCGTAGAATCAGTTCCCAAACATTTGAAGTCACATGGTCCGGATCGATGGTTGCCACCTGTATTTTATAACACGTTATGATACTTCATTGTATCATCACATACTCTGAAAGCAGTCCCCATAACATTCTGCTTGGTGATATGTTGTCACATGGGATATGAATGAATGTAAATGGGACTAGCAAAATTGTATTCGACCAACTTACTTTGGGGGTGCGGAACCAATTTGCAAATGGTTGTTAACCCAGGTTAATAGTATATCCCACAATTGGATGAACCAATATGATCTAATGTGGTTATTACCCATTTACGATTCGTGGCATGCGCATCCAAGTAAGTCTTAAAATAGTGGAATTAACTGGCAAGCATGGTGAATACCATTGAAAAAATATTGGCTAAGAAGAAATGGTGTATTTAACTAAACTGGTGAAAAAAATATAATTTGAACAATCTTCAGTGCAATGACCATCTTCGGTGAATAGAACATCGGTGTCATTGACAGTTGAATTTCTGAGAAGTAATCAACCACTATCAGTTGGCAGCTGGTGAAAAGTTCGGACTGGACCAGTCAAACCTTGCACCCCTTCTGAAACGTTCTGGTGACATGGCAAGTCCATTATGATTCATTCTGAATTACCCTCTGGTAATTTAACATAGCTATGGAAAATCACCATTTTTAATGGGAAAATCCACTATAAATGGCCATTTTCAATAGCTATGTTAAATTACCAGAGGGTACTTTAAACAACAAAAATTTGGAATGTTAAGCCAACCGCCTGTCAGGTCAGCTGGGAATCATGTGTTTGAAAACCTCACCAATTGTGTTGGTTAACTTCACCCATGTTTCAGGCTTCAATGCAAATATCCCACCATGTTTGATGTTTGGATCCCAAGTTTTTCCTGGTTCCATTTTCTCCCATATTATGTATATATATATGTATATATATATATATATCATATATTATATATTATAATTATATATTATATATTATATTATATATTATATATTATATATTATATATTATATATTATATATTATATATTATATATTATATATTGTATATCAAATATCAAATATCAAATATCATATTATATATTATATATTATATATTATATATTATATATTATATATTATATATCATATATTATATATTACATATAAAATATTATATATTATCTATTATATATTATATATTATATCTTATATATAATATATTAAATATTATATATTATATATTATATATTATATATTATATATTATATATTATATATTATATTATATATATTATATATATATATTATATATTAATTTTGATATATTATATAGTATATATTATATATTGTATATTATATATTGTATATCATATATTATATATTGTATATCATATATTATATATTGTATATCATATTATATATATATTATATATTATATATTATTTATATTATATATAATATAATATATATTATATATATAATATTTTATATAATACTATAGATAATATTTTATATAATATTATGTAATATATTATTAAATATATTTTAGAATATATATATAATGTATAATATATATATAGTATAATATATATATATCCTCGTGACTTCTGCGGAACTTTCTCCCACGTGGAATCGGAATCCCTCTGAGAGAGCGGACTGCGTTTGCTTCGAGCCTTTGTTGGCCTTGCATGGTCCAAGAATTCTGGAAGAATGAAAAAGGACCCTAAAAATGTAGGTACGACGTACCATTTTTTGAAGCCATACTGTGGAAGAAATCCTGCACCAGTTGATGGGTGGTTTATCCCATTGTTTATAAGGTTTCAACCATCCAAGGTGATGCAGGATTTCTTCCATCCACAGTAGTTTGGGAATGAATCCCCTATACATAATATACATCGCCCTGAAATTTAGGCCCGAAATATCTGCTAGGCACCTACAATTTAGGTACCTGAAAATGGCCATTGATGAATGGGACATAATGAGATACTCATGTTGGTATACTGCAATAGAATGTCATGGGAATATCCAGATGAATGAATTTAATGAATGAAATTAATCAAATCATATATATATAATATATACATAGATTGTGGCCATAGTCTAAAGTTGGATTTAACCGGTAAACATGGGTATTTGGGATGTATAGCTAACTATGATAATCCCTATGATTCCAGTACTATCCATCTTGGGGTTTCATGGTCGGATTCCCTTGGGATGACAGCTCTAAAAACTGAGCCCAGATGTCGGCGAAAGACACCCCAAATAGAAAGATTCTTTCTATTATGTTAAAATGGAAATGAATTTCATTTGTTAAAATCCTATATAATTTTAAAAATGGAAATGAATTTCTATAGATGAATCCTCTGCTATTTTGTTGAATCCTCTGTTGAATCCATGGAAATGTTTTTACCCTCTGGTTATGAATAACATAGCCATGGAAAGATCCACCATGCTATTAAGAACGGTAAACCATCTATTTCGATTAGGGCCATCGTAATAACCATGGCCAACTGTTAGTCATACCCAGATGGCTATGGATCAATACCTATAGATATAGTTTATTAGGGGGTGAACATCCATTTGCCACCTATTTTGATGTTCACCAGGGCTACATGGTTTTGACCCATTCCCAGATGGTAACAATCTTCGGCTTAAATTTTCCGGAACATCGGATTCGTCTTCTTCAAAAAACGACCACCGATTTGATCCCATGGTTCTCCATGGGTCCCAGGGTCCAAGTTCCAGGGTCCATACCTCGTGTGGCACGTCAAGGCCAGTTAAATGTTTCATGACAGCTATGATTGCCGAGGTTTGGTAAAAAAGATGCCATGTGGTAAACCCAGGATGTTTCAAGCGCCGCAAAAATAGCTATGGCTTAGACATCTCTCATGAAAACATATGAAAACCTGGATGATTTACTCCAGGTTTTCTCACATCAAGTCATGTTTTCGAAGACCCTTCTGAGCCAGCGAGATCCAGCGAGTAATGCACACATTGCCAAGCTAGATTGTAGCAGGCCCCAAATATACGTGTGTGTGTATATATATATAATGATAGAAAACCTGAAAAAACCTGGAAATTGTGAGCTAAATATCACCTACAAACATCCTGGTTTCAAACTGTCCTATCTATTTGGGGACCTCTTATATCCGGTTATATCCCCTTATGGAGGGTAACCATGAACAGACGTCAGCATGCCACGGCTATCCTCCACTTACTCCCTGTCCTGTCGCAGCCCAGCAACTGATTCTCCAACAAACGTCGGCTGCTGAGTTTCTGCATGGAAATCAGGTAGTCGGCGATGCCTGGCACTGCACCACTGGTGCTGGACCGACAGTCTATGTTCCCGCTTAAGCTACTGAGCTACCCAACCAAGGCTGACAGAGTGTCTAGAAATCCCGCATAGAAAAAAAAGAATCAGGGTGTTTATTGGACGATCTAAAAGCCTCATGATGTGCAAGATGTCCAATTTGTCTATCTTTTAGGGATTTTCCATGGCTATGTTAAATAACCAGATTGTATTTTTTAAACGATTTACCTAATGAACATTGGATTTCCAGTAAGGCTTGATTGGGACCAAGGCTACTCAGTGGGACCAAAGGACCAGAAGGCGGGAAGGGGAAGTGCATTTTGGGCCCTGTAGTCTGGCACTAAGCCCATACAGTAAATGCAATATGTTTGGATATACACCACAAAAGTCCAAATCCATGTTGTTTAATCCTACAAACTATGGGTTTGTCTCGGAATATCATAATTACAACCTAATTTAATCCATTGGTTAATCATCACTATCCAAATTGAAATGGCAGTCGGGTGGTATACACGAGTATACGGCATTCTTCCACTTGAAAACACGCTCCAAAACCATCGGTGATTCATATGGCTTGCTGAAAACTCCCCCCTTCATAGATGGTGTTCCCAGTCAAAAACTCCATGGCCAGTGTCCCTCAATACTGCACACGTCAAGCATCATTGCCAAGTTGCCACTTATATTAGTAGTAGCATCCAGTCTGGATATCGGTTTTCTCCCCTTGCGTTTATGGATACCGCAAGATTCCTGCGGTCGACTGTAGAGAAAGTCTCTGGGAAACCATAGTTTCACCCTCCAGAGATACGGTTTTTGTGTAAAGCTTCCCTTCAATCCATTCCGGGATAGACTTAAAGTTTTTTCCGAAAATGGGATGGGCTATGTTGTATGTGTTCTTTTTTGAAATGATGATGTTTGGACGAGATGTCCAATATGTTGTTGGTTCATCATCCATTCAAATCGACTAAATACCCGTCCTTCCACCCTTGCCAGCCTTCATCTTCCTCCTCCGCATCCTGAAGGGCAAAGACTGGATCACCGGTTGAATGTCACAGGTGTTTGGGACCTAAAAAAAACTGCAGATCTGGGTCTCAATGTTTGTTGAGACGGGAAAGTAATGATTGATCAATTGATCACTGAATTCTGGGATTTTTTCATGTACCCTCTGGTAATCAGCTCCATGAGTTGCTGGAAATTCCCCCATTGACAGATTTGTTTCGACAGTTTTCCCAGCTGTAAACCTCCACATACCTCCACTTAAGGTCAGGGATTTTCCAGCCAGGCACGTTTGATTACCACGGGGTGCACACAATGTTTTTTTGATGTGTTCGAATTTGACCATCCATTTTTGGGTCTGGCTTTGAGAAGATTATCAAAATGTCCAACCCTCATTTAAGGGCCATTTTGGAATGATCCCCCAAAAAAAAAATCATATAACCCGCCACCTTTAGTGAGGTAACTACCAATCTTATCAGATGGGTACCCTCTGGTAATTTAACATAACTATGGAAAATCACCATGTTTAATCGGAAAATCCACTATGAATGGCCATTTTCAATAGCTATGTTAAATTACCAGAGGGTATCTCACAACTTGCATATCCATGGACAATGTGGTCGCTCATCCAAGTAGGGTTTTGGTCAAGAGTTGGGTACCCTAAACTGGGGGGGTTCTTATGGCCGATCCCCAGTCGTCACCATGGCTTTCCATGATTAAAAGGCTCATTCATGACGACTGGATGACTGGGGTACCCCCATGACTAAACGGAAACCAAACCCAACGGCCAACCCTTCAGGTTTCGCCAGATGATCACCATATTTACTGGTCAGAAAGCATGAAACCCACCGATGAATGGAATAAACCGGATTAGCCCACCCAAATTAAACTGATTTTTCACGATGATCATTATCCAGTTGCTGAGTGCTAGGATCTAGCCATATATTGATGGTTACCTCATACCTCCCATGTTTTCTTGCCTAGGCCTAAGCCTCTATGTTTGATGCTCTTGGATACGCCATTCACCACCCATTTACCAAGATCTACCCAAGCCAAACTCACCCCATGTGGTTGTTCTTCTATGAAATGCGCAAATGTTTGTTGGTTACCCAACCATCTAGTCAAATTATAGAAAAATCTCAGACAAATAAACCATCATTTTGGGGGTAGTGTTTCCCTTGAAAATTGACCATACTGGTCAAAATCCCCCCAAATTCTTGGCTGGTAAACCAGCCATGATGACATGGCCAACCTTAGATACTCAGTGATGTGGTAAACCCAATGTCATAAACCATCCCTCATCACAGTTTTTATGTCTGGTTTTCCAACCATAGTCATGCTAGGTGTATGGCATTGGGTTGCCCACATTCATGGGATATTTCATGAACCACTTATTCATACTTATGTGGGGATCAACACATTGAATGGTTCTCCCCAAAATGATTTTCATGGGATAAAATGTGCTTCGTTATCTCCCCAAAATGATGTTCATAACGTAACACTCATGGGTTTGAACCCGAATTGCTTCATCTTCCCAGCAGCTTCCCTTCGAAAAAAACGTCCCCACCTCGCCCTTGGGACGTTTCTCACGGCGTCTCCGAGGTGCCGCCCGTTCAAACCTTGGGCCGCGATCGGATCAAGGTGGAAAGGACTTGCGAATCACCACGAAGCCTGCGAAGAGTGGGAGATTTACAAATCAAGTTTGATGGGAATCTGGGTCATATGATGTCCTATGTTTTGATTCTTGGATATTGATGTCATAAGATGTCCGAAAATGTGATGATCATTTTTGTGGCCAACATTCGAATGATGGGGGGGAGGTTTAAAGTTTAATTACCCATGAAATGTTGGTTTCGCCACCGAACATGGCAGGTTGACCAAAAAAAAATGGCAGGTTGACCACCAAAAGGGTCAATCCTCTCATCAACAAACCTGCCCATGTAAAATCCACATGTTCAATATATCATGATGTATCATGATATATTATGATATAATGTCATAGTATATGTCATGATATATCATGATATATTATGATATATTATGATGGTCAGGTTGCATTACCAAAGCCAAAATGACCATGAAGATAGGGATGCACAAAACAGCAAATGACCGTGCTGGTTTCTGACTTTCCTGGACAATTTTATCGAAACAGGTAACGTCCATCCGCGAACCGGGGGAGGCAACAAATTCTCAGGGAAATACCCTCTGGTAATTTGTTACATAGCTATGGAAAATGGTGATTTATGGTGGATTTACCCATTGAAAATGGTGATGTTCCATAGTTATGTTAGTTTACCAGAGGGTATATGGTTTTGGTTTAACACCCAATTAGGGATAAGCCAGCCAAAGAGGATATAGTTGTGATATTTCATGGCGATTGGATATAACCAACGATATCACATTTGGGATCGCCCGTTTTTATGGGTAAAAAACCATATCAAAAACCAATAAGTAACAGTTTCAACAGTGGAAAATGATGACATTTTCCATGGAATTTGGGGGAGCCCCATGTTCAGGCAAGCGATTTGTGATATTTTGCTTCGTGGTGAAACACCCCCCTTTTTTCATCTGTCATTGGGGATGATCATCCCATCTTTAGGGTGGAAAATCATGTCGTCCGTGAAATAATGCAGTAGGATGATAAGACCACCTAGAAGGCGTAAAATTTGCGGATGTCCATCTTCGTTTTCGATTGCAAAACCTTCTGTCCCAAAATTTACCATCTGGTAAACAAACATAGCTATTGAAAATTGCAATTTAGTTCGTTGATGTTCCCATTAATAGCATGGTGATTTTCCATAGTTATGTAAATGTTTACCAGAGGGTATGCTAGTTCTAAGTCCCTACCCTTGGGGTCCATGTCAGAATCATCCGCAAAAAAACGGCGAGTATTACGGCCTCTGCTCGCAGCGTTTCTCAAAAAAAAATGATGTCAGAACCTCCATGGCCTCACCTGTGTCGAACACGCCTGGCCCTAAGAAAAAAAATCTGGGTGATTTACGGGTGATTTAACCACTATAAATGGGGATTTAACCACTATAAATGGGGATTGAATGATGATTTTTTATGGTTCAACAATTGGTTAACAATGGTGAATTTCATGGGATGATATGGGATTTAGCCTCTGGTAAACATTTACATAACTATGGAAAAGCACCATGCTATTAATATACCTATTAATGGGAAAATCAACGAACTAAATTGCAATTTTCAATAGCTATGTTTGTTTACCAGAGGGTACTGGTCAAGGACATACTCAACTGCTTAAGTTTTAACCAACCTGTCATTTCACATACTCAGATGCACACGTATTTCTGAAAAAATTAAGGCCCCCACGCTGTGACAGCTGATTACATAGCCAATTTAAAATACCCTGCAAAAAAGAATATCTGGTTAGATTCATGTTCCAACTTATCTGGGTAAATGAGAATATTTCACTCACCTGAAAAGTTCGCAGTGAGGCCGCTATAACTATGCTATAACTTATCCCTCCACCAAGGTCGAACCATGTTCTTGATGCTTAACTCCCCTGTTCAGCACATTTGGCTGGTAAAAGCTCGTCCACTTCCATGGCTTGGAAAATTCCCCGGTCGAGTTCGATGATTTGGGAGATGATTTTTGCTGCAGATCATGTTTCATTGAACGGGAAACCGTGGGTTTTCCACATCTCTTTGTTAGTTTACCGGGTAATACCGTGTAGCCTTCGCAATCAAAGTTGGCAATGGAAAATCCACCAGCATCCACAAAGCAAATGAACGAAATGTAGCTGTGAAAATCATCGAACGAAATGGGGAATTGTCGAATTGTCCAGCCAGCCACGTTTGATTGCCAGATGGTATATGAAAGATTGGCTACAGTATCCCAGAATTCAGTGATCAATCATCCACAAACATCAAGAGACCCAGTTTTGAAGGTTATAGAATGTTATAGATCAGTTCCTGAACAGGAAACCGTGGGTCTTCCACATCTCGTTAGCTTACCCCATTTCGGAAATTTCGTGTGCGTGCCCATGTCGTGCGGAAATTTCACCTTTTTTGGTTGACCAGTTAGTGATGCTCCCTGAGTCTTGCACATGGCATCCATGTCTAAGGCTGCGGGAATTTCGAGGCCTCCGCTCTCTCCTGGCATCGGAGAATCCGGCTCTGATGAGGCCGTGAGGCCGCGAATCTTTGAATGAAAAACCTCTGGTAATTTCACATAGCTACGGAAAAAATCACGGTTTTCATAGGTCAATCTTCTTTAAATCTAAATTTTAGCCGATTTCCGTAGGCATGTGGAATTACTGGAGGGTAGTGGGAATACAGTGGAATATAATGGAAATATAATGGAAAGATAGTCGCATAACCAGCAATACAATGGGAAAATTATGGAAATATCATGGACATCTTATGATGTATGTATATATATATATGTATATGTATATATATATATATGTATATATATATATATGTATATATATACATATATATATATATGTATATATATATATATGTATATATATATGTATATATATATGTATATGTATATATATATATATACATATATATATATACATATGTAGTATATGAATATGTATATATATATACCCCCCCATTGTATGGTCCCAACTATGTGTAAATCTCCTCTACTAAACCATGGTTTTTGGGCGGTCTCTAGGATTTGGAAGAGATTGTGAGATATCCTCCAGTAACTTTACATATGGAAAGCCATGTTTTCTCGTTCAGAAAATTATCTACAAATGGTTGGTTTTCCATTTCTATGTTAATCTACTAGACGGAAAGCCCTCAAAAATGTAGATACACGCATACCATCATCAAATGTGCATATAGAATGAAGGAACCACTGGAAATTGAATGCCTCTAAGATGCCACATGTTTGAGAAAGGACCGGCCGTGGGTTTTGTCTAAAGATTTAGGGGTTCCAATACTATAAATGGCCATAACGTGGGGGAATATCCCCAATGTCTGGAAAAGTGACTCCCAAAAGAAATGGAAACGTTGCACGCAACAATAGGGCTTTGCATGGAAATCTCGCAACGGTATACCGGTATACCCCTATACCACATCAAAATGGTCCACTTGTAAGTTGGGTTTTTTCGATGAGTTGGTCACCGGGGTGACCCTATTTCGCATGGGTCAAAATTGTGTGCTAAAAAAGCACTCTCTTCATTCTCCGGATGTCCAATAGCCTAACATTAATGTGCCATGGTCAAAACATGGTATATAGATGTATGGTCCGGGTATGGTCCTCCATCCCATAATGGGAACCCGAACCCAATCAACCAGTAAATCCCTATGAATGGATTGATTATTCTCATCCTGGAAGGACTGGGCATACATTCCAACTAAGTTAGTTGGTGGTTCAACCCATCTCAAAAATATACTCGTCATCTCAACCAATCATCATCAATCATCGTCAATCGTTGCCTGGTGAAAAAAAATAACGCTATACATAATATTAGTGAAACCCCCAACCGGTAAAACACTCATGTTTGCAGTCATATCCCAATTATATCCCAACTAAATCCCCTTTGTTGTTGGTGATAAACCTCATCTTGCCATGGCTTTAAAGTGACCTGACTCCTCGCTGCCCGCAGGCTCTGCAGGCTCGGGTGGAACGATCAGTTTGTCCAAAGCCTCACGGCCATGGGAAAGCCCGGTGTGGAAAGGGTGAAAAAATTAGGGTTTCAAAAAATTGGTGTGCTTAAATGTGTTGAGTGGGAAGGTGAACTTCTAAACCTTCAAATTTTGGGCTATCCCATTTTTTTAGACAAGGCCGCATCTTTTCTTGTGATTCCCCAAATTTGAAACCACGACTTCGGCACAAAGGATGTTAACAATGCCCAAACCCTGCTGGCATCACCAAAACAAGACGAGTCCATCTGTGGTTCGTAGCACTGCAAGTGTTGACCAATACCATCTAATACCAACAAACAAGAGTATTGCTGGCAAAATGGTCCCACAAAAATTGATGGTTTTGAATCCCATATTCGCCGGGAAATCCCGACTTTTGTAGTTGGTAAATCCCATTAATTCTGTAGGTCCAAAAATCCCCGTCCCCCTGATCTTTTTTCATAGCTCCCATTCGCCTGGTGTTTGTATTGGATCGATTCGTGAATTGGGTCCCTGAAATTGGGAGTATCACGGAGTATCTAGATGTACCCTCTGGTAAACATACAAAAAACTATGGAAAATCACCATGCTATCAATGGGTAAATCCACGAACTAAATCACCGTGTTCAATAGCTATGTAACAAATTACCAGAGGGTATTTAATTTTTTGAGGCGTTGGGGTTTGTTCACATGCCCAGTTTTCGGTTTGGCCCGGTAGTCTTGGCCAAGGAACTCCGTTGTATCTTTTTCGGAGCACCTGCAGCACTGGTTCCATTCGGATGGATCACAGAACATCAACAATTCCACTTGATACAAGGTGGTGCCCCATAGTTAGCTAAGTTGGTTTATAACTCCCATAACTATGGTTTATGGTAGATATAACTATAGTTAATGGGGTTTATAAACCAACTTATAACTGGGGGGCCTCACATTGTACATGTCAAGGGAAAAGGGGGAAATCATTGGGGCATCAACAAAATCGAAAAAGGAACGTGAATAACAAACAAATCCACTCGTTACGTGTGAAAGATGGGAGGAATCATTGTTCAGCCTCAACAAGGTAATGAGAATACATTTTTTCTAGCAATTCCACTTGACAAATGGTTACAGCAATTTTATGCAGAGTATCTAGTTATAGAGGATGGATTGGGTTGTGAGCCAGCTGCTAGCAACAGGTACAAGATCGAATCATCTGGGGTAACCGTAACCAAGAAACATGATCGCGTGAGTGTAGAAGCAATCAAACAGGAATTAGCCGCTAAAATGTCTTAGGCTTGGTTGGTATTTTTGCTCATATTGCCATATTATTCTGTATCTTATATAACTATATATACATATCTGGTTGGTGGTTGACCTACCCCTCTGAAAAATATGAAAGTCAGTTGGGATGATTATTCCCAATATATGGAAAAATAAAAGCCATGTTCCAAACCACCAACCAGTAACTATATATACATATAATTATATATGTATATAAGTAGCACCTCGCAGACATCCAGGAATGCCACCCACAAAAAACTACTACCCGCCCCTCGAAACTCTTGATTTTTTTCCATCAAGGTAGGACTCAAACTTCAGCAGTGCCAGCGGAGTTTCGTCCAAAGAAATGATTTTTTTTTGGATAGCTCTTGAGCGCTGAGATCCCAGCAGTACTATCCACCAGAAAATTGGTCGGACTTGGAAATTAACACAACGAATCCACCTTCAATGCTGCCACTGGGATTCTTACTGGGTAGGCTGATGACTGCATACGAGCAGTGAACTCTGATGTCGTAAGCCATTCAGTTCCATGATGTGGAAAAAAAACACAAATCCTTAACTGGATATATAATTAAGGATATTAAGGAATTATTCGGTCCATCACAACCATAATATTTACCTGATCAGAATGCATCCGGCCACAATGCTTTAAGAAAATCAACCTACTGAACCAAGGTTTCCCTAGTGTCATCATGGCCGATTCTTGTCTTCCCGCAACGCAGTATAGATTGAACTGCTGAAACCGGGCCAAAAAAATGTCAAATTCTCTTTGTCAAGTTGTCTGCCAAAATATCAGCTAAAGCCATGCTAAGGTCTACCCTCTGGTAAACTAACATAGCTATTGAAAATGACCATAGAAATAGTGGATTTACCCATTAATAGCATGGTGATTTTCCATAGTTTTTTCTATGTTTACCAGAGGGTACATATGTCTACATCCACATCAGTTGAAACCACTGAGTGTGCACCCGGGTTCTAGGTGCCCAGCGTGGATATCTGGATTTTTCGTTTCCTGGAGGCCAACCCGAAGGACCCACAAACCATGGATTTCCCAACTCGAAAAGAGGTGCAGCCCATCACTTAGCTGATTTTGGGGTCCGCAATTCTAAGAAACACCCATACGACTTTTGTTGGGGTATCCCTCAAATTTGCGATGATGATTCCATACTATTGAAACTCATCGTCGAAAATTTGAATCATGCAACTGACTAAAATGACATTAAATGACTAAAATAGGTCATGCTATGGGTAGTATCAAATAATGATGTTATATAGTTTTTTTTTGGAAAGACCCAACACCTGCATCCCTTGGGCCCTTGGGACTACATTGCAACTGGCTTGCTGCGCACCTATCCTACGTGCAGTCTTGAAGGGATTTACACATGGAGAGGCTAACCCCGCATATTGTGTATATCTGCATATATATATAATACAATATATATATATGTAGATATAATATATATATATATGTATATATAATGTGTATATATATATATACACTATGTATATATATATATATATGTATATAGATACTATGTATGTATATATATACTATGTATATATATATACATGTGTGTGTGTGTTCTGCAGGTATAGTATACAACACTTGCATGTCATGCATAGACAAACAATAATTAATATCGTCTTGTTTGAAGACGTATTCACATGTAAAGCATGTTCTCCTACGAAACGCTACGAAAAAAAAAGTTCGATGATGTTCTCTCATGGCCCTTGGTATCCCCCCGGGTAAAGGGAGGGGGGTGGGCCCCCCAAAATACACCAAATATATTTTTAAAAAAACAGACGTCCCCCAAACATTGATGCTTGACCTAAGATTCTGAAGATTTAGATGCAAACTGTTTCGCCCGGTTCGTCTGGTGTTCCATTGAAGGCATCACCTTTCCTTTCCCCACATAGTACTACTATGCCCCTCATAATATGTCCAAATGTTTTCTCAAAATTAACACCACCGGTAACGTTTAATCACTCATTGACACCCAAAAGCTCGCAACTTCACACAGCTGCGCTATTGGTCGAGCAAGTAAGCCAACAGTCACTAGTCATCATTTGAGTTGGCAACATGTATGCGCTTGGCACTGGTTTTAAGAAATACTGTTTCTAATTCGGAACTCAAACGTGACCATTTCCATGAAGGTCATCTTACAATTACTCATTTTGTCTCATATTATGTCGTGTGAACTTTGTAACTAACCCGCGTCCTCCTTCACTCTGTCGGCTTCTTGGTCAATGTACCTTTGCCAAGGCTTCCCATGGTGCGCATCTTCACACAAGGGTCATAGGATGGGCCAATCTTTGGCAATCATAGGAAACTAATGTAAACTACATGGATTTATATGATCTTGTAGGGATAATTGTGGGGATACTGATTGGGATGTAATGTTTACCCTCGGGTGTCATCCAACATGGCGAGCAAATCCCCGAACGAAACGCAGGTTCTCCAAGAATTGCCCATGTGCTCCTGGTTGGTGGTTGACCTACCCCTCTGAAAAATATGAGTTCGTCAGTTGGGATGATGAAATTCCCAATATATGGAAAAATAAAATTCATGTTCCAAACCACCAACCAGTTGCCCATTTTCTCACATGTTCTATGACCATGTCCAAATCAGAAGATGAACAAACCTACCACTCCGTTGCGAGGTCGGCGAAGGAACCCTCCGCCGATGCCAAGTTGATTCAAAACTCCCAGATCGTTGATGAGCTCACAAGATGTTCAAAATATGTCCAGCAATATCCCCTAAATCTGAGGTGTCAAATAAATGATCGTATAAACAAAATGTTTGGATTTATGTAGCACTGAGATCATATTTCGAGGAGTATCCCGGAGTATCCCCTAAATTTGAGGATTCAAACCCCTCAGATACCAGGGCCACACAGCTCAAAATGTTCAAGGAGAATCATCTGACGACCACTCAACACAGGAGATGTCTATCGATAAACCCAGCGATGAACCTCCAAAAAAGATCAACAAAGGGGATATGTATGGGATATGTTTGAAAATTGTTGCTGTACTAGTCGAGCAAAGAAAAATTAATCTGTTGGGCCTTAAGGCCTTAAGGTTGCGTGATTTCTCAAACATATATAATCACCTTTCTGTTGGAGAATTTTGACTCAGAGACCTACCAATTTTCCCATCCATCATCCCCTCCCAAAAAAAACGCACCACATGGCAGACAGCGCCAGGTTCTTAGCATTTTCCGCTGAGACGGTGACAAGATCGTCAGGCTGGCAGATCGCCGAGGAAATCGATCTTTAAGCTGGAAAAACTTGGGAATTCACAAGTGGTTTAGGGGGGTGACCAACAAAAACTAGGGATTTCACACATGAAAATAATGATTCAGACATCGAAGCATGGATTGACATGAAGAAAGTTGGAAGTTGGGTCAAAACCCCAATTAACATAGGATTTGTACGACAACAATGGCAGATCCCCAGTAAAACTGGTGAAAACATGTGACTTTCCCAAGAAACCCCCGCAGTTTTTTTCAGTGACTCTCCCCTCGCCCATCCGAGCCGTGGTCACCTGATCGTCTTCCTTCAGCTTCAAGGACTTGAGCCGGTCACGCATCTTCCTACGCGATGGAAATGGGAATGAAAATCCAATGGGAATATCATCAGAATATCATGGGAATATGAATAATATGGGAATTTCAGGATCCTAAACTGGAGGTGCCTACCAGATATAAGGCCTTAACTTCAGGCTTTAATTTCAGGGAATATCCCAACAAAATATGGTCAGAAATATGGTACAGTACCTCCATTCTAGGATCCTGAAATTCCCATTGATAATTTGAATAGAATGGGAATCTAGGAAATATAGCTACAATTATCAGTGGCCATTCCAGGTACCGAACTTGGAGCTACCATGTGTAGGGGCTTTATATGCTACAGTACCTCTATTTTCGAGTCCTCCATGAGCCACTGATATAATCACTTTCTGGGGATATAACTCTATGTATATATTTATACATATGATAAATGGGAATATCATGGGGATATAACTCTATATATCTGGGTAAATAAGAATATTTCACTAACCTGAATTGTTGGGCCATAAAAGGGGATGATTTCCCTATAAAAACCATGATTCCAGGGTTCGGTCGCAGTGAGGTCGTTGTAGTTTACCAAGATATATATATACATACATATATATACATATGTATATATACATGTGTATATATATATATTGTACATATATATACAGTATATATATACAGTATACATATATATAGGCATCGGTGCACTCTTGTTTTCCACCTCCAGCGTGTGACTGTAAGGTTTTATGAACTGTGAGAAGTAATCACAGTTCCCTTCTCTTCGCTTTGTCGCGCCCTTCAGGCTGCGAACTCTTCGCTTTGTCGCGCCCTTCAGGCTGCGAACAGATTTAAACACACATTGTCTTGCTTCTCTCATGGTAGAGAGTTGACTTCAGTTCCATGGCAGGAACTCCGCAAAAAGAAACAACATTTACTTCCATGGAAGGAAGGTTCAAACAAGGTTCAAAAAGCCATTCCAATGTGGTGGGAGTGGCCGGGCACTGAAAAGCCACTAGAGTAAACAACCGCTGAGGTTAACATCGTGACACTCTGCCTAAATTTCTACAAGAAAGTCTAGGCATCGGTGCACTCTTGTTTTCCACCTCCAGCGTGTGACTGTAAGGTTTTATGAACTGTGAGAAGTAATCACAGTTCCCTTCTCTTCGCTTTGTCGCGCCCTTCAGGCTGCGAACTCTTCGCTTTGTCGCGCCCTTCAGGCTGCGAACAGATTTAAACACACATTGTCTTGCTTCTCTCATGGTAGAGAGTTGACTTCAGTTCCATGGCAGGAACTCCGCAAAAAGAAACAACATTTACTTCCATGGAAGGAAGGTTCAAACAAGGTTCAAAAAGCCATTCCACGACCCCTTTACTTGACACTGTAGTGTTGAAAAGGCCTCCACTCTTGCAGTTTTTCCCTGGCACGTGGAGAAAAAGTTAACATCGGCAGGAAGCTAAGGCCGTCCTGTAAATATATTTTGGCCACTTGGGCCGATCCCCACCTGCCTTTAAGCAAGGCCAATTCCATACTGCCAGTGGTTTGAAAAAGGTGAGTCGCGCCTCCTCTTCGGAGGCTGTAAGGTCTGAAACAGTGGCCTTGGAGATCAAATTTCTTTAAATAAAAGCTGAACTTATTCCTAAAGTTCTGTGCAGAGTGAAGCCAACAAGGGACATGCTGCAAGCGTTGGTGTTCTCGTAACTGTAACAGCTGATCAATGGCAATCACTGCGAAGGGATCATCAAAAGAAACGGTCTCGGAAGCAGCATTACGCTTCCCAGATTTCGTGCTTTCCAGTGAAAGGATTACCCGTTCCTTTGCAACAAGGATGTTGCACGGCTTTACCAGCAACAACTCTCCAGTGCGGAGTAACCCGAAAAATCCCATTAAAAGCAAAGTTCCAAAAACTAAATCATTATGCATCATCGCATAGTGAGCCAACGAATATATTATGTATTTTGTAAGTGGAGGGGCCCTATTGGGGGCCTCCAATTTTCGCCAAGTGCGAAACAATTTCCATGCTGATGGGATCAACTTCTTGGTATAGGGCTCAAAGTGGTGAAGGCCACACAATGCGTCTGAAACAACATGAATTGTTTGACCCTCTCTCCATTGTTTTTCAACCCAGTCACTTACTGCGTCATCCAGCTGAGGCGGTCCTTTGACCTTTTCCAGTGTAGGCAAAAGTTTTCTCATAGCATCATAGTACCTCTCTTGTGTTCGAACTGAAATAGCTGCATCTGCTAGTATTATGTCCTTTCTTTGTTTCTGTCTTTCAGCGCGGGTTCGTCTAGTCAAGAACTTAGGCCGACCGGCTCGCATGGTCGGTTGGATTCTGTGTGGACTCTACATGTCCCAGAATCAGTGTGATGCCATGGGCTAAAAGGTTTGCGTTCAATACCTTGAGCAACTTGTTCAGGAAACGGCTGCCACTGCGACCCTTGCTTATCAATGAAAGGCAAACATACGAGTCAGTCAAATGAAACAAACGCAAACGCGTGACCTGAAAATGAGAAATAGTATACATAACAGCTTGGTGTATTGCTCGTAGTTCCAACCGATTTATATGCTCTTTGTGAGCCCATCTAAACTTGAAGACATGCTCCCAGTCCCACCATTCAGCTTCAACCGCCTGCCTAGGGAAGGCTTTTGGGTTGAGGATTTCGCCAGTAGTTATACGGATGTCAGACCCCGTGTGATTTACTCTAGCGAGTAAGATTTTATTCAGCAGTTGTGGTGACATCAATAAATTTGAACCATCAAACCCATACTGCAGTTTTCTAGCCAAAGAGATCTTAATCCTCCATGGAGCTGCAAAACCAGGCGCCAGACCCATGCGATCGCACAAATGAGCATAGCTCATCCGAGGCAAGAAATGCTTGCATAGGGCGGCTGCCGGAATAACAAAAGAATAAATACTAAAGCTGTCTCCTAGCAGAGAAAGTCGTTCGTTTTCAAAGGCTGCAGCAGACTTCTTAATCTGACTCGCGCTCATGCAAAGATGTGTGTGCATCCAACCATACCCTAAGAGCAGCTCTCGTTCTGTACTGTCAATGAGTCTCCATTTGTTACCCTTCCAAAAGAGAAAACGGGACAAGTATTGATATGGAGGGAATTTGAAATGCTCACTCTTCCATCGCTCTTTAGTGTCTTCGTCGCACCTTGACAGACCTGCCGGTCTCGGTGGTGGTCGGCTCCGGATGATGGCCCGGAGACATGTTGGTAAGACATCGCCAGACTCTGCGCCTGTCCAAACAACTTCCGGCTCTATCCATGTGGCTGGATCTGGATAAGGGTTTTCAGCAGTTACCTTAGTCCAAAAATCCTCACGCTCAAAAAGTACCCCATCCAGAACCCCCTCAAAGGACTCGCTACACCAGCATAGTCTAGGCCTGTTCAAGGGCACTGCGTCAGAGCAGTTCAAGTGGTATGGCCAAATTCCCAAAGTCTCTGAAATTTCCACGCACTCGCTCTTTGCCATAGAGGCAACATTCTCGCCCACCAGTTTGATCTCAATCAGCTCCCCTGCAGCGCTCCGGAGCACTTCTAGAACCCTAGGCACTTCATAAAATAGCTTCGACTGACTACCAGCTAATCCTTCTCGACCTGACTTCAGTGCCGTAAGGTCCGTACATGGAAAGCCTGCCCAAACATGGATTTCTGTTATTCCGACAAACTTAAGAAGCCATCCTCGAACCATGGTTTCGTCAATCTCCCTCACATCATGGTACTGCAGCGAGTGGGGCCACCGTCTGCTCGAAACTCTGTTGGCGGGCCCATGTATATCAAAACTAATAAGTCCCAAAGGTGCAAGCCCAAGTATGTCGTAACATCTGAAGCACCCTCCTACTCCATTAAAGAGGGAAATCACCAACACCGGGATACTGACAACGGAGCGAACACTAGATGTCATTGCTGCTACATAGTCGCTCCCAACAGACGTCAACTGCTTTGAAATCCCTACTGCTCCACCAAAACCTGAGGCATCCGACGCAGTCACAAAATTAGAAACTGTTGCTCCCAGGTCAGTATGTAAGAGGGGGCTTGCACACACCAAACTCCAGAGCTCTCTCTTTACCTGTTCTACCAGACGGCTGCTGAAAGTCTTGCTGCTAATAAATTGCCATGTAGAATCCAAGAAGGCCATACCCGGCCGACGAAATTGCAATATGTGGACCCACCGTCCTGCCACCACCTGCACATGCTTCTTTGATAAATGCTTTTGAGAGAGAATCCACAAAGTAGCTTGTATCACTTTGAGGATCCGCTCAGGAGACGCCCCAATGGTGTTTGTGGCTCCGCTGACTAGGGCTCCCAATTCTTCAGCTTCTTCAACTGCTCGCTTCCTTTTCTTTTCTGAAGAAACAACCTGTGCTTCTCTCCAAGCTTTCTCTGCTAGTTGGTGGAGTTGATCACCAGCAGCTGAAGTTTCAGAAACGCCCAAGACCTGCCCTCCGGCATAGTTATCCAAATAGACATGCCACCATATACGACGGTGCTCTCGGGCTTCCTTTAAAAGACCAACCATCCATAAGGGCAGAGGGCGGTTGCGAACTACTTGCTCTCCCGCAGGCAACATGCTGCGCAACAAGATACGCTCACTGACTTCCTGCATAACTGAAACTGAAGAAAGCCAACCCATGGGTAAAACGCAACAGGACAAAGCATACTTCCTAGCAGGGTCTCTGTCAATCTGTTTTCCATTTACTACGATGTTAAACGCTAAACAGCGTCTCCACTGAGGAGGTAAAGCAAAGAGATAGAAAGCGTTGGTCATATCTGACTGCCAAATCCTGATAGTTTCACCCTCATCGGCCACCAATGACATCCAAGCAGTAATACTGGGCAAGTTCTTAACAGCCCCTTCAAGCTGAAGCATCACTGAGTTTGAAGGTACTAAGTTCATTATAACACGAAGAATAGGCTCTCCCGAAGACAAACATGATGTTTTGGGCACCCCAAAAAGACCGTTTAGAACAGGCTCCCCACGATAAGTAAGGACATCATCAAAAGGAATCCAGTCACAAACCCCGC